ATAAAATTCTGCATAATACAGTATAATTATAACTTTTAATTATTATATAAATTACTATTTAATATAACTTTAAAAATACAATAAAATTTAGAAAAAATAATAATTGTTCAAAAATTAATCATAATAAATAAAGTAATAACTTTTAAACACTTTAATAAAATACTTTTATTTGATTCTTTTTTTTTATAAAGTGTAATATTTTATAATATGATAAAATTAATCTACAATTGATCAAATTCATAATGTGATGCAAAAATTTTTTTTAACTAATAAGAGTATTTGCAATATAAATAATTGATTTTGAACACTTATAGGTAATCCTATTTTCTTACATATTAATATATAGTTTTCTCACTTTCTTTAAGTTTCCAAATGGTAAAATTAATATTCAGTATCATTACTTTTCGGACTTTTTCTTTTGCTTCAGTTCTGATAGTTACACTTGCTTAAGATTCTTCTGTGATGAACCTCAAAATAATTACTTTCAGTTATTTCTAAATTTCTTAGGATCGAATAATTGGATTAAGATGGTTTTAGTCTTATTTGAAAGATCAGAACTTATCGAATCTGCATATCAAATTTGATAGAAACAGAATTGATAGATGTTGAGATATTCATGTTCAAACTTCATCATGGCAATTCGCAACTTTGCATTTTTTAACGAAATTATTTAATTTTCTAGAAAAAGAGTTATCAAAAGTTGCTAGTATAAAATATTTTACTTATTCAAAAAAGTATGCTTTATTGATTTAATATTTAAAGAAGTACAGTATGTATGTATTGGCATTAATGTAAAAATTTTATAATTATTTTAAAAAATTTTAAAATTTTAAATTTGAAAAACAATTTCTAATACAGTCAACTCTTGATATAGCGAACTCTTAATATAATAAATTTTTAAATAAATATAATAAAAATACTTTTGTTATAGCAAATTGGCTAATCAAATCTCTTAAAATTTTCATTATAGCCTTATAGCGAAGTTGAGGTTTAGAATATAGAGTTCGTTATAATAAAAATTGACTATATTAGTTTTTAAACAAATTTTTTATATTTTAAAGTATTTAATTTTGCTATAAAATCTTTGTATTAATATTTAAGTTTAAAAAAAAAGTTTTTTTAAAGATTATATTAAATAAAATAAAGTTAAAAAAAAAAAAAGATACAGTAGTTAAAAAAAATGATTTTTAATGATATGAATTGTACAATTGTAATTGATCATCAAATTATATTATGTAATTGTAATTCACCCTTGTAGTTTTTTACAAATATTATAATTAGTAAATAGTGCGAAATGCTACTTCATAGTTTTTTGCAAATATTACAATTAGTAAATAATGTGAAATACTACCTCCCGTAATTTTTTGCAAATATTAAAATTAGTAAATAATGCAAAGTACTACTTCCGTAGCTTTTCACAAATATTATAATTAGTAAATAGTGTGAAGTACTATCCTATAGCTTTTACAAATATTATAATTAGTAAATAATGTGAAGTACTACTCCTGTAGCTTTTTGCAAATATTACAATTAGTAAATAATGTGAAGTATTTTTCTGTAGCTTTTCACAAATATTACAATTAGTAAATAATACAAAGTACTACCTCTATAGCTTTTCGCAAATATTACAATTAATAAATAATATGAAGTATTATACTAAAACTGTAAATATTGTATAACCTTATGCTGTAAAATTTGCATAAGTTTATAAATTGTAAATCTTATATAATACTTCATATTAAAAATATTTCTGATGTAACGAGGGTTTAGAGTTAAAGACTTAAAGTTAACTTTCAAATAATTTTGCAGTAATTTAGTTCTTTTATTAATATTTTTAACTTATTTATTTAGATGAATAATTTTTATGAAAATGAATTTGAATATGATAATAATATATATTATGAAAATGAATCTGAAGATTCATATAATAATATAGAAGATATTTTTTATGATGAACCTGATGATAGTCTATTTAAAGAAATTTTTAGTAGACAAACATTCACATTATTTAAAATTCTAGAAAAAAGCTTAAAATTATATGTTTCTCAAATAGGTTTTAAAATAAGAATTGTAAAATTTGAAAAAGAAAATGATACTTAGGCACGTAAAACATACAAATGTTATTATAGTAGTAAATATATTTTTAAAAAAATGTATATCTAATACAAACACATGATCAAAAATCAATTCACATTGAATGTGGATTTTTGGTGAATGCTTTGTATTAAAAATATCAAAATTTAGTCTTTATAAATAAATTTATCAATGAACATAACCATGCATTACAAAATAATGCTATTTTTCAAGAATTTTCATCATTATTACATAGAATACCAAATAATATAATAGAAAAAATACAATTTTATGTTTAAGTGTGTCATTTAGATATTATATTTTTAAAAAGAATATTGTGAAAAAAATATTCAGATCAAGAAATTTATAATTAAAATCTTTATAATACAATATATAGATTTAAAAACCAATATTTAAATTAAAAATGATGTTGAAACATAGTTGAAAATTTAATCAAGTTATATGCAGAAGGTTCTAAATAGTATTTTAAAGTTGATTTTAAAAGTATTGATAATAGATTATCAAAAATTTTTTGGATTTTATCAAAACAAAAAAGAATATAGTATTAATATCATAATGTTATTATAAATGATAATATAGTAGCTATCATAAATAATGCAACAAAAAAATAAATTTCATTAAATGAAATATTTCTTGTAATTAAGAAATAAATAAATTTTTTTTTTGTTATTTTTATTATTAATACTATAATTTCCTAATACTAAAATTTAAACATTAATTAATAATTAAATTATTTTATAAAGTGTATAATTATTCAGATAATGCTATTGCATTATTTATTTTCATTTTTAACACAACTCAAATAATAATTAAAACATCCAAAATTAATATATCAGAACATTATTCTTTTTTAAAATATATTTTAAATTTGATACAATTACCACCTCGTATATTCTCCCTGAGCCTTAATAATATCATGAATCCTTTCTGATATAGACTAAATTAGATTAGTACAGGTTTCAACATCGAATTCTTTCCAGACTTACTGTATCTTATTCCATAAGTTCTTTTTACTTGAAATTTGTCTAGGGAGATATCTAAGCTGACAGTTAACCTCGTTCCATAAATATTCAATGGGGTTTAGATCTGAGGATTGGGGTGGCTAATCTAGGATTATCATCTTGTTTCTCTTAAGCCACTGTTTTATTGAATTTGCCGTATGCTTTAGATCTCCATTATGTTAAAAATAATGTCTTTAACAGTAAAATCATGTGCCTTGATAGTGTCCATTAAATCCTCATGAAGAATTTATTGATATAAGTTAGCATTCATAATGCTATTAATCTTACAATAACTACTAATACCATGAGATATAAAGCATTCCCATATTATAACTAACCATCTCTAAATTTTACTGTAGGTTTAATATGGTGGTCTTTTATTAGTTCTCCAGAATGCTTCCAGTAATACTGCTTACCATCTGAACTAAAAATCTTAAATTTTGATTCATCAGATCATATTACTTTTGACTAGTCCTCAACAATCCAATTTTCATATTTTTTTTTTGCAAAATTATATCGAGATTTTTTATGTTTTTTACTAAGGTATGGCATTTTTTCTTTAACCCTTGCTACTAATCTATTATTTTGAAGTACACAAATAGTAGGTATTGAAAAGTCAAGATTTTTTTTCTTGTAGTCAGTTTTATACTTCATTTACAGTAGGTGGATGACCTGTTCTTGCTAAATCTTCAAGAGTGTGGGTTTCAAGCCATCTTTTTCTAATACGTAAAACTGTAAAATGTGCAATTTTTTGAGCCTTTGCTACTTCTCTTGTTGTGTATCTATTTTGTAATGAAAGAAGAATCTGTGTTCTTTTATTAGAAGTTGTGTGATGCTTTTTTGCTACTACTCATTTATTAAGTAGTTGTAACATATCACAGGATTAAATAATAAATAAAAAAAAATACATTTTATACAATTTTTATGTAACACAATTATGATCATCTAATTTATGTTACAAACAATCAAAAGTAATACAATGCGTGATTTGTATTAATTGCATATTATTTTATAATCAGAAATATTAATGGATATTAAAAATTTAATACCAAAAAATAATGGTATTAACAAATAAAATTTTATTAAAGAGGGTGGGATATTTTTAGAATTGAAAGAAATATTTAAATTTAAAGGATTTTATTTTTTTGTTGCATTATTTATGATTGTTACTGTACATGTAAAATTAACAAATATATAATTTCTTTAAGCATATTTATTATAATAGATTCTGATTAATAAAGTCGTATTGTTGTAACAGCAGTGATTTTTGATAAAACTGTGTTACTTATAAATAGATTTTAGAACAAACAAAAATTGCTATCAGAGATCTCTAACCAATAATAATTTTTACTGATGTAGATCTTGCTATGTAAAGTGTAATACAAAATAGTATTTTAGATCAATTGTAAGATACTGTATCTTTTATATTTAATAAAATCTGATTAAAAAAGTAAAGAAAAAGCTCAATAATAAATGAGATATATTTATTGGTGATTTTATGCTTTGCATAACTCTATTATTATAACAGATTTTGAAAACTATTAGAAAAAATTAATAACTCAATATCTAGAAGTTCAGAAATATTATGAATATGTATTATATCTAACTAAGACATGTTAGATATATGCATTTACTAAACACAACTTTTTAGTAAATACACATTCAACATAATGTATAGAAAGTATGAATTTGGTTATAAAATTAGAAGCTAATTTAGCAAATTTATTTTATCAACTTTATTTAAGAATTGAATTATAGTTAAAAGATAAAGCTAAAAATGCAAAATGGTAAAAGTTTCATAATATGAATCCTATTACAGGATTGCTTAAAGTTTTTGATACTCTTTTTAAATACATTGATGAAATATGCAAAAAATATCTTACACTAAATTTAACTAAATTTACTAGCATTATAGTATAAATAAATAATTAAAAATTTTTATATAGAACTTGAATAAAGGATGTTAGAGATATTAATTTATCAGTAAGGATGAGAATTTGTTATATTATAATTTAATTTGTTAAAATATTATAATTAATGTTAATTAATTTAGTATTGATATGTTAAAATTTTCATAGAAGATGATTATGAATAACTTTATATTTTAATTAATATGACTTTGAAGGATTATTCTAATAATATTGTAAATGAAATTTGGAAGATTAAGTATCTCTAAAGTATAACAAACTGATTACAATTTATTATAATACTTGATGATAATATACATTACTATACATGCCTTTATTTGATTTATGTTGAATTTGTTTATAAGCACTTTTTGCTGTAATATTACAATTAAAAATAGCACAATTTAATATTAAATTTATACCTTTTTAATGGTATTTAAAAGAAGGGTTTGCAGCAATGAATATGATACAAGAAAATTTAATTCAATTAATTCAAAATAAAGAACAGAAAACTGGTACCTTTCAAATAATAAATATTATCTGTAATTAAGAAGTATATAATAGATTTATTAAAAATCTAGACTCAAAAAAAAAATGTTTAGTTATGGAATTAGATTTTGTAAAAAAGCTTTGAATTTAACTATTGCAAATAATTCTCATCAGATTTTTAAAAATCTTTTACAATAGTTTATTAAACAAATAATATTTTCTATATAAGAGAAAACTCAATTGAAGAAATTTTAAACCTAATTTAATATAAAGATAAAGTCTGATCTGCAAATAAGAGGTATTTATCAACTATTGAAAATTGTTCAAATATATATATTAATTCAAATAATCAAGATTTAAATGATGTTTCAAAAGGATCAAAAAAAAAAATAAATAACAATATATTATATATAAGTTATAGTATTATAACTCACAAAATTGCCTTATAAAAAATAAGGATTTAGATAAAAAAAAATATTTAGCTTGTCTTATTTATTATGTATTAATACTTTATTACAAGAATTTTTAATAAATTAAATAAATTAATAAAATAAATTGTAAAATCATATGATCATATAGGGAGGATATTAGTATTTTCTAGTATTTGAATAAATATTTTCTTTATTTAAATTATAATAAATATACAGTGTGTTAAAAAAAAAACTGAAATTAAAAAAAAAGCTTATAATTTGATGTTGAGAATATAAAAATATGTAAAATTTATTTTATTTGAAAGCTGGAAACTAGCTCTTTTTGCTAATATAAATTAATAAAAGATTCGTTCTTCATCATTTTCAATAATAAGCTTGCAATGTCGTTTTATTGAACTCACTAAATTTGTTAACATGGTTTCAGAATTACCCTCCATTCTTCTGTCATAAAACTTTCTAATTCATCAAGATATTTTAGCATCTGGCGTTCTACATTCCCCTTAACAATCGCCTATAAGTTTTTGATCAGATATAAGTCAGGACTATTTGAGGGCCAGTCCATGACTTTTGGGATATTATTATAGAGAAATTCTTTAGCAAGACGACTCATATGCTTCTGGTCATTATTTTGCTGAAGCCTCCAGTTATCACTAAGCATTGCATCAATCTCTGAAATGTGATTTTTAAAGATTTTAATGTAAAATTCTGCATTTATTATTCGGCAAAAGCAAAACAAAATTGTTTTGCTTGTTACATAAAATCTGTCCTATACAAAAATTTTTGATCTGTCTTTTGGCATAAGGCGGATTAGACAAACTTCCTTATGCTAATGCTTCACAGTATTCCAGAAGAGTTAGAAGGCTGTTTCATCCAAAAAAAGCGTTGTACTCTAATCATTATTAATATGCTTCTACGTTCACTTAACACGTTTCTATTTATGGGTATTAGTAAGCATTGGAGTTGCCTTTGAAAGGAATTTTTTATACCATGTGTGATTAAATGCTTTGAAACAGTCACATGAGATACTTTAAGGCTCATTCAGTTCAATTTTTTAGCTAGAGTTCTTGTTAGAATTGACATATCTCTTCAGATATTTTGTCTAAGGGAATTGAAAAATTTACCAGTGATTTTCCTTGGATACCCACTTCCCTTTTTTTGACTTATTGTATTAATTTTCT